TTTTTTTTTTTTTAAATTTTTATTCAATGCTTTCTGCTTTCTTTCCTTCACTACCACCAGTACTTTCACTGGATAGAGGTCGCTTAGTAAAATATCTATCCAAAGAGGTTTGGCTTTGCCTACTTTTTAAAATGTTTCTAAAATGACTTAGGCAAATGTCATTACACTGAGCAGCAATACAGCCAGTGTGAACCTTTTCGGGATGTTTCTTTTCAATAAAATCAGTCACTTTCTGATAATACCTCAAGATTTCCTTTATCAAGCAAGATCCTTCCACGACAAAGCAAACACGCGGACTGAAACCAATGAACAGAAGTGAATAAAAAAATGGTGCTACAAACTAATGTAATGTCATATGGTGAGTTTTTGTTCGTACTGTGGAGCAAAAATATGTTGGAGTTTCATGTCGTATCCTGAAAATTTTATATGCTGGAGCGTTCGTATCCTGAGGTACTACTGTATAGTTTTTAATATGTTCAATTTTATTTTTATTAAATATATAAACTACAAACAACAACAACTTAATTAGAATGGTTAGTATGCAAAACTTTCAACTCCTACCAAACTATAGCAATATCCTCAAATTCTGCCTATAATAAATGAAAACCCAAATAAATAATAAAATTATTTAAATACTACATTATTATTAAAACTTATTTTTATCATGTTTTGTTTTAAACAAGATATTTATATATATTTACCAGATTAGCTTTTCTATTTCAGAAATTTACTTGTTAAGTACACTACCAGAAAATTCTAAAATCTCAAAAAAGTCAAATATTTTATGTACTGTGACATGTAAAGTTTAACCTTCAATAGAATTTTACAGAATGCTCAATGCTTGAGTAAAAGATTGAATGCTGAACACCTATCTACTTTAAAAATATTTTAGCCTTAATTTGCTCTGTATTATTTTAATTATATTTTCTTTTGTCTTACTACAGATTTATTAAATTCTTAATTATTTACAATATTTAATTAATTATTAATTATAATATTTAATCAATACATTTATAAAACTAACATTGTTTATATAAAACATTATTATAAATTGGAATGGAAATGTAGAGTGAAATGAATACTGACTAATAACAATATTAGCCAGCATTCATTTTTCAAACTTTGATAATGGAAAATATTATATCAATAGTTATTATCAAACGCCACTAATATATCAGTATTCAGGTTAACTGGTGTAGTTTACTTCCCAATACAAGTTAGATGGACAATTATCACAAGAACATTATTTACGTGGATGATTATTACAGAAAATATGGTAATTATCTTTTAGTTTAAAATAAATAAAACATTTCTTTATATAAAAATGTAATTTTATTTTCTAATCATATATTTTTCAATCCCCAACCCTACTTTTCCCAATATATTTTTGCTATATGTATTTGCAGTTTCTATATTCATAGAAGTTTTGCAAAACATAATCCTTGTAAACATAGTGCTTTTTGGCTTTTTGCAAATAAAAGAAATATTCATGAATATTTCTTTGATTTTCATTTTGTTTCTTAGTTTATAAAAAACAGTACAGTATACAAACATAGTTCTAAGAAACTAATAATATCTTATCTGAAAGATAATTTTTAATATATTTTTATTAATAAAATTTTTACATATAAAAAAATCAAACTTACTTGTGCTCTTCTAAAATCTCTGCAAGGGGTAGATTTGATATAACATTACCATTTATTAAAATAAAATCAGTACGAATTAATCCCTGAGAATCTAATTCCCGGAGAACATCTCCCATTGAAAGAAATGTTTCTGAAAGAATAGTTGTTACTGTCATTGGAGAAACTGGAGAAGACCATTTTGATTTCCTGGAAAAAATAAATTATAGTAAAGATTTTCATAAAATATATTTTAAAATTTACAAATTAAAATAAAATATTAAATATATTTTAATATACTGGATAATCAAAGTACTCTGTTTAAATGCTGTCTAGAGAGATATTTAACAATCTAAATGCAACCAACTTTGGTGTGGTGACATTTCAGGGCATACAGAAGACATTTTGGTAAAAACTTGCCACAATGGCACTTTTGGAACCACAAACAAAAACTAGTTTCATTTGTAGGAACACTTAAAAAGTATGGTTTATTGAAGACATAAAGCAAATTTGGTAGTCTTGAAAGACAGTCTTACTGCATATGAGAAGCATTACAAAAGATCAATTACAGTCTGCCATTAAACATATTGTTCATTACCTTCAAAATTCATATCTTCAGAATAGAGATCACATTAAGCAGTATTCCATGCATTACTAAGGTCTCTGCATAGAATGAGTGCCTTGTATAAATAAAATGTTTGTAGTACTAAAAGTGCTATAGTGGCAAGTTCTGTTACTCATCTTTTTTACAGAAATGTCTTTCACAAATTCTGGAAGATCATCCTATCAAACTTTATTGCATTTGTACTGCTAAATATTTCTATTATTTAGATTTCTATCTAGAAATATAGAAATATTTCTAGATAGCACTAAATAGTACTTTTATTTTGATCACTCAGTATAGTGGTAATGCTAATAAAATATTTTTCTCTTGTAACCCAGATAGAAATCTATTACACTAATCTCTTGAAAGCCCAGAAGTAAAAAAATAAAGCATTTGAAATAATGAAATCCTTCAGAACTCATCATACTACAAGTATATATCAGTGAACAACTTTTTCTGGATGTAAGCCACAAGTGAACTTTGTAGGCTTCTAGCAGACTGCATGCATTATTTTTATTATGGAGGTAAAAGCTTTAAGCCTTCTGAGTACCAACAAACTCCATAATTGACAGTATACTTAGCACTGAAATAATATATGCTAATGATATACAAACTAAGTAATATACACGATGTAATAGAAAGGTGTGTAAAAATTGAAGGGGTTATAAATACTGATAATACTTAAACGGATTAAACTTATTTTTTGAAATATTTTTTTTTTAAATTATGCTAGACAACTGATGTTATTAATTTTATTTATTTAAAAATTAATTCCTTGAAGTTATAAATTACACATAACACAAAAAGTTCAATAAAATTAAATACAATTATTTTTAATATATTATTACTATAACACTTCAAAATAAATATTAATATTACTTACTGAATATGATTTTTTACTTGTTGACCAAATGCACAACAAAAAACGTATACTTCTTGAACACCAGATAAACATAATGATTCTAAAATATAATCCAGCATAGGACAGTTCACAAGAGGCAAAAGAACCTGTATTAATTAAAATTATATTTATCAATTATGTATTTTTTAAAAAATTTAACTTATCAGTAGAAAGTACAAAAACCATAAAATATTTAGATCCTATAAAATTTACATCTTATGTAATTTTGAAAGGATAATGTAAGATTTGGCAATTAAACTTTAAGACTCAGTTATAAGTTATAAAAGTATTTGGAAACTTGTTTTTTCAAATGCTTCTACTTTGACTATAAGCTTAACCAATCAGATCAAACTTTAAAAATTTCTCATATATAATTAACATTCATACACAGCTGCATTAGATATTTTGCATCGAAAATCTGGATTCAGCTATCATTAACTCTTTCAATAGCAACTTCATTGTTAATGTTCTTTCAACTGTGTTGTTGACATTCTAATATTCGCTCAAAATTTATAATTTTTTAATTTTGAAATTATGATTAGTGTATTTTTTTGTCTAAATATAGTGATTCTGTAAATTACATTTGGAACCTTTTAAGTATTTCTGTATTCCTTGTGAAATACTGATTTGAATTTAGAACATCTAAACTTTAATTACAGTGTATTAAAATTCTAATTTATGTATATTTGAAAATCCAGATGGGGACCAGTCCCAATCAATTTGGATTTTTGACATTTCACTGTACTTATACAAATATTATTACATTCAATTGTAATTTGAAATTATTTAAATTTTAATTGAATAATGTAACATAATTCAAAGCTGCCAGAACATTGTATAATCAATAGCTGGTTAAAAAATTCTCATAAAATAACATTAAAACAAAATCATACTTAGCTTTAAAATTTTGCTAATACTTTCATTTAATAAAAGTTGCTACGTGATTTAAATGTCTGCAGAAGTCCATTAGTTGAAAAAATACTAGCCAATTCTAATTAGAGCTAAATGATTTTGTTTTAATATTATTTTGTGTGAATTTTTTATAAGCCATTCTCTTTTACAATACAAAAATGTATAAACGACTTCAAACTAGTATAAAAATATTAAACATTAATCTAACCATACAAAATTGTAGTCATTTACAACCAAAATAAAGAAAAAAAACCTTATTTTGAAGTTCTCAAATTCATCTTATCCTATCATAGCAACAATGCATCTTTTTACAATTTATTTAAAGTGTCAAGGAATTGCATAAAATTTGGCACCAAATTCAAATATCTACCATATTTAAAACTAAGCTAAAGTAGCCAAAATATTTATTCTTTCAAAACTGTTTTCAAATTAATTTAGTTAAGCATTACACTCCACGTAGAACTTATATACAATTCCATATTTGCTAAAAGATACATTAAAAGCCTATGATAATATTCTAAAGATGTAAGAAATAAAATGGGATCTACAGAAATGCAATACAGCTGAAAGATTTCCACAGTTTTAATATCTTTATTTTTATCTCCATTTATTATATATTTTAACTTTTAAGACTACAAAATATTTATAACACTACTTTCTAATACAAAACTTTGTTTTCTAGCCTGAATAGTGCCTTCAACAAAAGCACATAATTAAATAGGAATAAAAATAAAGCTATTACAGCTCTGATCAGAAAACTTTTAGAGTACTGCATTTCTATAGATCTTATTTACTTGGTACATTTTTGAACAATAGAGACAATTTACAAAACAGAAATATAAAATTACAAAGTTGTTATATGGTATAATTTACATTTCAGTTTTGGAATATATAGTAACTGGAAAACAGAATACAAAATAATCATGTATCCAAATGTTTTTATATTTCTATATCTATTTTGAATAAAATAAATAATGAAAACGTCAAACTATTTCAAATTTACAAAATTATAGAACTCTTGATTCATTCTATCATTAAAATGAAAGTTTAATACTGACTACTGATTATAAACTATCAACTTTAACAGGTACTCTAGAAATTCATCACTTATATACACTTTCTTTTATGACAGAACTATATGTCTGATTGTATTTTTTTTTCAAATTTAATAATAATAACTATAATTTTTAAAATAAAATTCCAAAGGGTGGGAAAAAATCTGTAAAATGACATTGTAAAAATTACTGAGTTATTTTTTACCTTCATGTTATATTTAGAAATACAATACTTAAAAAGTTTTAATAGTTTAAAGACACATTATTTACTTCTAAAGCTTGACTCAATTTTGTTTAGAATTATCCTGTACATTAATACAAAAATTGGAACTTTAATAGTGAATCCAGTTAAAATACTCAAAATAAAATAAACACAGAAGCTTAAACAGTACACAAACCTTCAATATAATCATCAGTATTGTTGACTACCTGTTGCCATCAATGTGTAAGTCAAATAATGTCATCAGAAGAGCCCAATGTGTTAATGGTCTGAATGGAGTGGAGTGCATAAAATGTCTTGAAATTGTCTTAAACAACTTTCCTTTGAGAAGTCCTTTCATCTTTGTGTACAAATTAAAGGGATTCAAGTCAGGTGAATAGGACAGATGATAAAGCACCTCCCAGACTCTCAGAGAGAAAAAGTCACTGATATTTGCAGCTAAATGACAATAAGCATTAATTTGCAAGATGATGGGTAGATTGCACAGAAAGTGACACTGCTTCTTTTGCAGAGCTTCTCACAGATTGTGTTCCAAGAAATGTCCTCTGACAGATTGCCTTTCAGTTACTGCATGAATTAGATACTTTCACCAATCTTTGCTCTGATGTTTCACTTGAGCCTGTACAAGCAAGTCCATGTTTTGTTGAGAGTAATAATGCATCTTAAAAATGGTTCCCCTTCACATTGGAATCATTCCAAACAGGTACAAAATTGCTATTTCTAAACATCACTTAGACAATGTGGTACTCAGTAAGACAATTTGCCACATTTGCAGTTGTGTCTTCAGAAAGTAGAAAAGTTGTATGAGCCAGACTGACTTGTGCAAGCTGATGAACTTTCCATCACTGATCATTCTCCAATAATGGGGCCACAGCATGCACTTGGCCTTCCATAACTGGGGGATGTCCAGGCCAATGTCGGTAATGGACATTCTGATGTCCCTTTTGAAATGCTTTTAACCATACTATATGATAATTCTACATTACTGCAAGCCTGTACAAGTTCCTGATGACACTCTTTAGAGTTTTACCCCTTGCAATTTCAATTTCCAGTCAACAATGGCGCTTTACCTTCAATATGATTTGAATTGACCACTTTGGAATGCTGTCAGCTCTTTGAATCACTACAGTGTTTCAAGAGCAAAATTGTTCTACTTACAGTAAATCATGGTATGCTCAAGTGTGCTGTATTAACCAATATTTTGCTGTTTCCCTTCAAGTGTCTTACATATTTTATTTTAATTATAGAAATCATTTTAATTATAGTAACTATAATTAAAATGATTTCTAAATTATGTTTTATACCAGGGGTGTCCAATCCGCGGCCCAAGGCAAGTTCCAATGCGGCCCAATAAACGTGTAAACAAAACCGAAAAATTGTTTTATTTTTGTTTTATTTATTTATTTCGACGGCATAAACTCAGAAAAGAAGTTTCACAAAGCCGTAAACTTTTATACATATTTAATTTTTGAGCGAAAAGGAAATATTTTCAAATACCTGGAGATGTGTGAATGACGAAGAAATACTGAATAAAGCTGAAGTTGTGACTCAAAGGAGTATAGACCCAAATTTGAAAAAAGGAGAGAAAGGCCAAAAGAAAAAAAGTGGTGAAAAAGGTTAAATAGACTTTTGTTATGCAAATATCGGCTTTAATTTTCCAATCTTCCTCACTACTTTTATCTTTCGGCCTTTCTCTACTTTTTCTCAAATTTGGGTCTATAATCCTTTAAGTTCCAACTCCAGCATTATTTAATATTCTTTCCAGCATTGCAAGATTTGGCTACTCTGAGACAAATTTGGCTACCCTTTTTTTAGTTTGGCGTAAAAATTATCATTTTGCGCATTGGCTACTTTCTAGGTTACATATTATTTATAAATATATTAGTCGAATAAAAATGCACTTTAAAATGGTGTTTTGTCGTTTTTTATTAATTAGAGACCAGAATAGAACAAATATTTGTGTTTTTCAAGTAAATTTTTGTCTGTTTCCTTTATAATAGATGAATTTATTTAATTCTAAGTAAAAATTGGAAGAGTCTGTAGAAGTAAATTTTTAAAATATCCTTTTTCGTGATAAAGTTTTAATACTTATTACTATAATCCTTGCTAATCCTTAAATATACAAGTATATTTAAGGATTGGGTCACAAATATATTATATAGGCCTATACTTGTGGCCCAAAACTCCATGACTTCTTCCAATGTGGCCCAAAGGAACGAAAAGGTTGGACACCCCTGTTTTATACTTTCAGATGCTATAGGAAATCTCATAAATTCAAACTTGGGTAGTTTGAAATCCTGTTAGTTCATAACTTTACTATTTATCCCAGCCAGGGATATAGAAATTTCCATGCTAAGGAATTCAATTAGTTCAAAATACAGCTACTTCAAAATTCGATGTGAAACTTCTGTCTGAATTGTGTATGTGTGACCATAGGGTCGGTGTCTCTTTGACACCACGTCAGGAGACCTGAATCTGACACCACCGAGTCTCGCAGGACTCGGAAATTGCGACGTTATGTCACGCGAGTGGTAGCGGGTGAGCGATTGGATTCGGAGGAGAGGTGAGGAGAGAGACAAGGAAGTGACTCACTTGGATTCCATATTTTCTAAAAATAACAGTTTTAATTAATAAGAACTAAAGACTATACAGAGATATCGGGCATATTATCGGTCTTAATTATATATCGGCCTTTGAGAGAGAGAGTTTACAACCGAATCGCGGGTTGATAAATACCTTTCTTCTAGGTCGCAGATCTGTAGTATGATGACACTGTTGACTCCGATGGAATGCTCTCTCAAATTCTTGTCCATTAACCAGAGCTTGGAGGTGTGGAAGCACGGAAGTGGGGCGAGATTCTTAAAGAGGCACGGTGTTACTTCTGGATTCTGGTGCACAGATTTTACGTCTGGATTTGGGTTCACAGGGTTAATCCTTGAGGACGACTTTTGTAGAGGGACTTTGGATGACGACTCACCTCGGGTGTTTTTTCCCTTTTCTCTTGTTATTCCTCTTGGATTTTTCCATGAGGTCAGGTGGTTGTTGTTAACTGTCTGGCATCCAATATAGGCACTCTATCGAAAGTTCCGGGTGACACATCGCTGACTAGCTGGATCCTCTTCAACAAGGAACCAACTTCGTGGGAAATAAATTTTTATGGTTTTTAGCCTAACGCTCGATTTTATATGATGAAATGTTTTAAAAATTAAAATTTAAAATAACACTTTATTAAGGGTCTGATCGTCCCTCACATATGTTAACTCATTCATTTAGATCAAAGTATCTCCATATTGTAAGAGAATAATAAACCAAGAACATCTCTGATCTGGTCAATATGACTTTGCTTTTAGGGTAGCAAATTTTCAGGAATCACCTTATCCATGGATTACTCTCTTTTATCTCATAAAATACAGCTGTGTTTCATAATTGCAAGATTGGGCTACAAATAGCAGATTGAGATGTTTGTAGGGTTCTAGGTTCCTACATTTGGGCAACTTGCTTTTTGGACCACTTCAAAAATAATTAATACATTTCAAGGAATTCTGCTTTACTTTTCATACAACCTATCTTGCAATCCATTAGGTTCTGTTAAAACATAACACATGTGTTTACCTGCAGTTTATTATTACAGTAGAGCATTGATTATCTGAATACCAATCAACTGAAACATCGGTTAACTGAAAACATCCCAGTCGGCAAATTCAAATTTTTGATAGGGCTGTGACATTGAAGCACTCTTCCCCTCCCTGCCAAACTGAACTGTAGGCCTAGTTTAATGTACTACATTATGTAAGGTATGTATTTATAAAACGTATGATACAAATTATATACAGTATAGTTTTGTGTTCAATATATTTTTTCGTAAATGATCAGTTATCCGAACAACCCAGTCCCAAATTGTTTCAGATAATCAATGCTCTACTGTATTATTAATTAACAAAAATAGCATTCTGTATACTTAGCTGTGTAAAGATTAATTAGGAGTCAAGAGCTTGTCTTCTTGACTACAGTGCATTTGACTGCAATAAACACTATTCTCAACTCTGTACATTTATCTTTCTATGCATGTACTAGTTGTGTTTGAATTTGATAATGATTCTAAGCTCTTCAAATTTTGTAATTTTGTTCCAACTAGGGCAAGTTAATATAAATTTTTTAAAAAATTTAATGTTAACATTCTAGAATACATTCTTCTCACCTGAGGAAGAATTTTTGTAAATGTTATTAGTACTTGCATGAGTGATTCTTTTTGTTATTAAAGACCGATAATGCTGAAAAGGCAGTATTTTTATTTTTATTATTATTTACTTTATGAACATTTCAGCATGGTATAGTTATTTGTTTCTTTTATTGTAAAAAAAATTATTAATAAACTGTACATAATACATTATATTAGTAAATAAAGAAATAAATGAAATGTAATTAACTAAATTAAAAAATGTCATAATTAATAGTCACACAATATGACATAATTAAGATTTGATTCTGAAAATTTACGTGAAGATATTTTTGTGTTTTAAATCTACAATTTCATTTGACTGCAATGGCCAACAACAGAAGTATAATAGTATTATTAAAGATTTTCACTCAAGTGTATTTATTTGTAATTGTTAATAAAGAAAAAACTTCACATTTAGTAAAAGATATTTCTGTTTTTCAGAAATATAAGTGTATGCAATATTTACACTGATTATTATCCATGTTTCCATGTCTTAAATGATCTAAACTTAAATATTTATCTCAAATTGGACAAAATTAAATATTAATCTCAAAATCAAACTAAAATTTATATCTTATTATAACATTTGATGTGCTTTGATATCCTATACATGTCAAATATTTATTTTTAAGTTATTAACAAAATAATCCATCTAATTTTTTATAAAAGTATTAAAACATATGCTATTCCGGATATATTTCTCAACCGACATTTATCTTAAATTTTGGTAAAGTTACTTTCTCTGTATACATATATAGAACATATGTAAACAAATGGTAACTTCTACCAAAATCTTGTATATGTGATTTTCATGAAGGTTTAAAATATTTCATAAGAAATAAACTAATATAGCCGGAAATGTCTTTAAAGATAAAGTAATTAATATCAATTATCAAAATTAAAAAACAAATTTCTCATCAGCAATATAATATGACCACGTGTTTGAGTTTTAACACGTGGATAAGCAATAGAACACAGAAAGAGAAGAAAAAAGGATCAAATACCCTTGGAGTATTTTGTGTAAGGGGCTGAAACCTCGCGTCGAAGCTATCAGCTACGATAACAGCTCGAATTATTTCTTCTTGTTTTAATAATTCATTATCTTTTGCCTTCTTCTTACTGTTCTCCGCCATCTTGAAATGATCTGACAACATAAAAAGTTTCGTCATCCTATTCGTATAAAAATCAAATAATATTTTATAAAATCTCTAATTTTATAAAAATCACATATAAAACCTAAAATATAATTTTTCATTAATAAAAAGTCTGAATTTTGAAAAAATAATTTTTTCCAATCATTTTTAAAACTTCGTCATCGCTAATGTAAGAAAACATGAATTACTCCCCTTTTTATTTTAAAGTATAAATAAATATCAATTTAAAAAAATCTTAAAATAATAATAAACATTTAAAAAACTTTTATACTTTTTTAAAAAAAAAAAAATTTGATTAGAAATATGACAGCGCCATCTCTACGATAAAACTAAAAGCAAAATTGATATAAAATGTTAAATAATTTACAGAAAATGTTTTAAATATAGCATTCGTTTGTTAATTTCAATAATAACGAAAAAAAGATTATTAGAAGCGATAAGAAAAACAATTGTAAAAAGTCGAGCACGAACCAATCAGAAAGGAGACATTAGACTCCTCCCACGTTGCCATTCGCTTTGTGTCAGGATCGGGGCAATCTGAAGGTCGACTCTCGCTCGAGTATTATAACCATCAGAACTGTCGGATTCGAACATGACGTCCAAACAGTCAACATCACTATCCATAACTTTTTCATTCACCTAGTATTGCCGCAGGAATACAGCAAACATGAGTTAAACTGCATACTGAAAAAGTAGGTAATGAGATTTTTTTTTTCATGCCATCGAGCTGTCATCAGCAACGGCTTGTTGCACGGTTGGGATGTTTTTATTTTATTATTATTATTTTTTTTAACATAAAAAATATAAATATGTTTTCTACGAAAAAATATCTAAGGCGTTTTTTTTAACCGAAAATATAATTTAATCTCTTTGTATATAATATAGAAAATTGCAAATATTAGTGTTTTTTGTGTATAGTTTAACGCGTATGGTTTGTAACGGATTTTTAGTGTATTTATAATGGGTTTTCTTTTTTATGTTACAGATGCGCTATTAACCGCTTCCATTAATTTTTTCCCCCATTTTTTAGTGAAAAGAAACGGCGCGATACTTAAAAGAGAGAGAGAAAGTTTAGCACGATTTTTATTTTCATTTTCCTACTTTCTGGCACTAGGGTAAAACCTGTATATGTGCATATACCGGATTATTTTAGGGTCAACAGCTGACTTCACTCTACCCTAGAGAGGGTAAGGTTCCTGCCCACCCGGACAGAATTGAAAAACCTCCTATGGTGTATGACAGATGCTGTGCTGCAACTTTGGAACTAAGCGTGATGACTAAATTTTATATACACTCTATCGAGCCAGAATGCTTATTATAAATTACATAGTGTGCCATTTCGTGCTAAGAATAATAATAATAATAATAAATGCGATAGCCAACACCTGGCACATTATGTTTACATTAAACTGCTTGTAACTTAGATGGACTTTCGGTCCAAATCTGAGGTCGTAGGTCGAGTCTGTATGTGGAAGCAATTATTTACTTAGCCGTTCGCCATTTTACAAGCGGTTTACATTCTTTGGCTACTTTTACAAATTATAGATTGGTTTTTAATTTCCGATAGACGTCGACGGATTATCGGATGGTGATTATTTTGTCTGATTTACGTGTTCGATATCATCCCGATAACTGTCGGAGCTGAAAGCATTTTTAAAGATAATGTTTTGCTTGAGAGATCTGCAAAATTTTCGCTAATCAACATCATTAACTGCTTCCGCTTTGTCACGTGATGACTTTCGAATTCGATTCTTCTCCGTTTTATTAATCCCACCGGCTCAATTTCCAGTCCAAAAATTCGTTTTATACACACTATTTTGAAATATAACCAGTAAATCATATTTAAATTTGATACGTTTTAATTCTTAAAGTTTTCAAATTTTATACGCTATTAAGACAATTTTTAGTTTAAATTAACAAAAACATTTTGAATTTAAAAAGTTAATGTTTTTTCTTGATCTTATAATCATTAAGTTCTTGTATAGATTATATTCAAAAAAGCAACAAATTATTTGTAATTTTTATGCAAATTCTGTCTATAGTCTCTTTTTAATTTTCTTACCTTTGTTTTTATTGAAAAGAGAATATTTAACTAAATTAGTAATTTTGTTTGTTGTAATTTTGGGTATATAACCTCCAGTAACATATTCCTGGCAGAAAATTGCAAGAACAAAAGCATAATCTTCATATAATCTACCTCACCATATACACTGTGCCTTTATGACAGCATTGAAAGCAAGATAATTATCAGTATGCCAGTAACAGATCCAGAAGTATCCAAAGGGGGACTAACTCAAAAATTAAAAATAGTTGAATAATTAATAAGCACCTATAGAATTAATAAGTACTAACATTTTTTAAAATTTTAAATATTAAATAACTCATTGATATTCTGAGCACATGTTAGAAAAGACAATAGCTTAGTATAGTGACATACATACACACACAAGTGCATGCTTGAGTTCGATACACAACATGCATTTGTGCAAGCATCACTAATGCACTTATGAAAACTCATTGTGTGTATGGTATGATATTTAGTTTTAATAGGAAAGCAGCTACTGAGAAATTCCTCTGAAATACTGAAAAAAATCATTCCTGTACTCATTTACCATCCCCATAATTAAATTGCAAGTGTTTAAGAGCTGTCCAAATTAAGTGAAAAATAGATAAATATGATTTATCATTTTTATTTTATGACTAATTTTCTTTGTCCAGTAATAGTAATAAACTCAAAAAAATTAAACAGAAAATAATTTTATCATCAATATTAAAATTATTTTATNATATAGTATTTTGCCATAAATTTTCTTGCATTTTTTCCCTTTTATAATCAAATCTAATTATCGATTTACCGATTTAAATGTGTCTAAATTGCATCTACTCAAAACAGACATTTCAGTAGCTACATTTTCTCCTTAGAGAACTTTTTTGAATCTATAAAACAAACAGACAATAAACAAAATCGATACATTGATTTATGATTTAACGGTGGCAAAATTTGTACTAGAGACGCTCTTAACTTAGTTATTTGAAGTTCAGAATAGCACTGTAAAGTAGACAGTCCCTGTTGACACACGAGGTGAGTCAGAGGTTTGGTCATCATTATCGATGGATGTGGGAACTGTTCCTCTACTGGATTTGTAATCATATGGCTTAGGTATGCAGATGACTAGTTCTTTTATACCATCACCTTCGATTAAAAAATCAACTAGTTTTTTTCTTTTTTTAATGCAATCATTAGGTAATAAGATTGATATTTTTTATGGTTAATTTGGCAATAAAACTTTTATTTATCGGGCTATTTCTGGTGTATTTATATAGAACAGGTGTTCACTATCACAGACTTTTACTGGCGCACTGCAGAAGACTTTCCTCTGAATGAATTCTACAAAATCATAAAGCTAAAAAAAAAAATTATATATATATATAAGATTAGTTCCTATGAATTGAAGTTAATGAATAAAAAAAATATTTGTTTGTAAGTTTTAAAAATCAGTTTCTATTATATAGGGCTATATAATTATCAAGGTTTTTTTTAAGTAGAAAATGTCCAAAGATTTTTTCCTATTAGAAAATAGGTTTCAATTTTTTTACTCTCTTTCTCTTTCTCTCTCTATATCTGTATCTGTGTGTGTGTGTGTGTTATAACTTATATATACACTTTTTCGATTTCGCTTGATTTAGGGCAGATTGCCAATTTTCTTTTGTTTCTGGAGGCTTTTTAAGTAATTTCGGATTTAAATTTATAATTAAATTTGCAATCAATGAACAATTTTGTAATTAGTGTTGCATCTTCAATATTGCATTATATTACTATGCGAGTAATTAAAAATTTTAAAAATGGTTAAAATTACTGAAAAAAACAATAATCAGTATTAAAAAAATTGATAGGCAATCTGGATTTTTTTTTCTTACTTTTTTAATTACTGAGTACATTGCAAGAACAGGCCATATGGTCAGGTAATTTCTGGAAGGTCAAAGAACGATGCATAATTTTTCAATAAAAGTATTTGATTCGGCTTTAAATGATTGTTTCTATTATATTTACTATTAAATTACAAGGCATTAACTTTTTATAATTGGGTTATGTTTGTTTAATTTTAAAAGTGTATAACAAAAATATTACACGTATTTTTACCGAGATTCCGAAGAAGATTTTAATAAATAAAATTGTGCGGTGTATGGAACTTTACTTCCTCATTTTTTGTTTTTGTTAGTTGTATCGAATACAGAATTTTTCGCGAAGTGACATCAACTTATCTCGTCTCGCTTAAAGTGACAAATGCGATGTTGTCACGCTTTGTCGCGTTTAAGGTCATTCTTTCTTCCATAGCGAAAAGGAGAGATATCGGCTTATAATAATAGTTTTAGCAGTTATAAATACCTAAATTATAAATAAAATTGAATATTATGTTAAGCGGCATCGATTCTCTAGTCAAAATTGAACTTCTTCGTACGTAGAATGTATGGTGACATTTATGTTTACACGTACTTAGTATGACTAATAATGACCAACATCGATATCATCATAAACTAAATGATTGTTACTAATTACATCAGTAATAATCATAACATTGGTTTGCGTTTTTGTGTAACTTAATTGCAAATTTACATATTCGAATGGAGATTTGTAAATAATAATCGCGTTTGAAAATTTATTTATTATAATTTTTTCGAGAATTGAATTTATATAATGTAATTAATAAGGAAAAAAAATCGCTACGTAATTAATATCTAGAGATATGCGAAGGATCAATGCGATCGAATCGTATAAAGCACATTCCGGATAGAAAGAATGTTCAAAGGGAAACTGAAATTCTGCTAATGATGCATAGCTATCACTTAATGAAATTGTATCCATTGTTTTATACCTTTCCATTATCCGTGTTATTCAGACTAAAGTTATTTAATTGGATGGGGCCGGAGGAAGTAATTCTATGCATTTCGTGTAATGTTGAGGCTAGCGTAGTATATTGTATTAACGTGAAAGCAGTAACCTTGATCGCAAACGGAAGAAGCATTCAACACCTGTTGTGGTCTCTATAGCAGCTGTCTTATCGTTTCCGAAAGAATTAAGATGCAGAACGAGATTGCATCGCTGTTTATATTAATGTCCGTCCTTAAATTTTAAATAAGAAATTACCCGAGATGCCGTTGCTAGATCGAATTAGTGACAATCTGCCCGAGTTAGCCTCTGGCATTTTCTAAATCTCGGTTTTTTCCAAATGGTTAACTTTTCTGCAGTTCCAATTGCACAAAGTTTGATTTTTTTTCCCTTCCCTACCTGAAATATTTCTAACGGATCGATTAGCAGAAAGGATTTCTGCACGCTCGAAATATGATAGAGGTATTACGTTTTATAATATCAGTTTATACGGAACAAAAAATAGGAACTTTTACGGTTATTAAAATATAGTCGAATAAAATTATTAAATTGTATTGAAATATAATGCAGTCGAACGAAGGTTAAATTTGAATCATTAAGTGCGTGATGTAATTAATTAACGTAGCGATTAAAAATGGATGGAAAAATTTTAATAATCTATCAACGAAATTACGTATTTATCAAGTGTATGAAGTTAAATAGAAATTAACGCTTGACTCATTTATAAAAGACCGAGTTTATATCGTTAACGTCAATTTATTATACGTTTATATACAATATAAATCATCGATTCGACTGAATATTTCATTTTAACTAAATTTAACTGGGGCTTAAATTCGAATATTCTCGTTCGTCTTATCGGTTGGTCATAACATCTGTTTTTTTTTCTTTTTTTGTCTTCAGGTATGTCAACGAAAATGTCAATGGCCTTTGTAAGCAACAAGTGCGACATTTGATTACCCCTGGTCGAAATTATACATCAGTCCGGAATTAATAAATTGTAATCTTTGTTGGAAGTACTTTACTTTCTGATGCTTCATCATAACTCATATTGTTTTAATAATATATGATATATATGATACGTTCATTTGAAGAGATTTAATTCTATAAATATCCGGTTTATTCTTTCAATTATTTGACAGAAGTCGTTTATCCAGATTAGTGAACTAGTCAATCCGGATTTCCGGTTCATCAGTCTGTCTAATTTGAAATTTATTAGCTCGGCAAATATCTATAATTTATAGCAGATACGGATTTATAAGGAGGCCTCGACGGACAATGAGTCTGCCATTCAATTTTTTCTATATTAATTATACCGTATACAGCCTGCAGTTACAGTCGGAAGATCCATACGTAACGAAACTATAATATTTCCGATTTTATCGCTCGTAAAAATTCTCTAAGAGTTGTAATAATCGAATTGGGAGAGCGAGCATCACCTCTTTCGCCTCCATCTAGATGGAATTATAGAGAACAGTAAACTCGAAGTTAACGGTCCAGCAAACAAGAATTACCTAAACAAAAATCAGAAACTATCATTTAAAATGAAAAAAAAGCGAGAGAGATTGTGTGAAGTAATCCCGTGGAATGTCATTCATTGCAGTCTCGAGCGTCAGCAATCAAGGTATAAAAGGCTGGCGTCAAATTGTTTCTTAACTTAGTCTATTTCGGTTCATCTTTGGTGATCCATCAAAAGCCGATCCCTTTTACTTTCTCTAGTCACGTGATATCCCGAGCGTGAAAACGTCATTCCCACGTGCGAATGTATCCGACGCATGCTCATTCGCCTATAGCCAAGGGTCGTTGACCATTCGGTAACTAATCGTGTCCTTAACCTCCTTCTGTTTGTTTCTCTCGGCACTTGGTTAGTGGGATATTATGTCCTATGGCCGATTTAATTTGGCAATGGGATAATGATACGAGTGCTAATTGGAAACATTGGAAGAGAAAGTATGTCGTTCTTGTATCCTTTCGAGAATTTATCATTGAGAAATTAATTATCTTAAAAGAAATTAGAGTGTGGGTCTAAACGTCGATACATTTAGTAAATAAGTGGATAATATAATCGAGTAACAAACTGTTCGCTAGTAAATTCAAAATTACAAACGTTTGTCAGATGTGCTTAGTGTAAATTATAATTCGTGCTTTTACATTTTAAAATGTGTAAAAATAGAGTAAACATTTTAAAATACATTTTAAAAGTGATTTAATTACAAAAATGAATTAAAGTTAACATACAACTGTTTTCCCCTAGATTTATTTTTAGATTGTTTTACGTTAAAACTTCCGGGACAAAACGAAAGAGAGAAGAAACACACAAATTCATATCTTAAAATTAATCATTAAAAGAGCCGTAGATGTATCATTGCACGGAAATAGAGGAAATGCGATCTTCGGCTCTCAGAAGTTTTTAAATAATAAATATCACAAAATTGAGATAACAAAATTGGAATATCCTCTTATCTGGCACGGTTGGTTAAATCGATTTCCACCTATTTACAGTTAGAAATACAGTATACTTAATTTTATCTCGGTAGCTTTATGATTCGCTAATTCAGACAAGTAAAATCTCTCGATAATCCCGGCGAGAGAAGCCTCAAGAAGAGGCATTAAAATATAATCTTTGTCTCTAGAGGTCCAAATGGTTTCCTGGGTAACTCTGGCGCCAACCAGACCACGTGGCAACAACGGGCTGTATATCCACCAGTACTGGATGGACAGAATTATTATTGATTACCTGATCCTAATATAACATATGGTGCATTGCCTATCCATTGGGGAATTCAGTTATTCTGTCAAGTCTTTTTGTTATGCAACTATTGGTTCTTTTGGCATTGACGGAAGAGAAATAGAATTTTGAGAAAAATCACATTTTTCTTCTTTGACGGTTATTCCTTCTTTTTAGCCCATAGTAATATTATAGCGCTTTAAGTTATTTGATTCCGTGACCGATTTTGTAGTATCGATGCGAAATTTTAAGTAAGGCATGTGATATATCGAAGTTTCGCGCCTCACGTCCGACATTTTTGCATTTCTTCTAACAAGAATAACGTTTAGCAGATGGGTTTAATTGCCATTAATGAGCCGCTCTCTTTAGACCAAGAACTCTGCCAAGAATTATCTCTACACCCGAACTTTTCCTCTCTACACAAAGTAATATATTAAATCATTATTTTTATTTGTAAAAAGATAAAATTTATGCACTCCCTCGATATAATTTTTAACGCTCAATTTTCACAGTTTATGGCTTCTTAAAGGTTAAACTCCTCTTGGCTCATTCTCAAAAATGTTTTCAAGAAGAAAAGAAGAAAAAAAAATTATAATAATTTAAGTGACTTTTTTACATTATAAATTGCTTACCGTTAATTACAGCAATTCTCATGAAAGTTCACACCCATTTTTTATTTATTTATTTCAAATACTTTCAGAAAATTTATATTTTAATACTTTTCCATTTTCCATTATAATATTTTAAATCGGTCCCATCGATGTGATTTACAAAATTAAAGTAAATAACATTTTAAAACTATAATTAAAGATGTTTGTGATATGTAACCGTTTAATGAAAGGATTTAATAATTGATATAAAGTTAATTATCCGTTTAGTTAATTCGTTCTGTTAATGAAATATTGAATTCTTTTGAATAATTAACATNAAATGTTAATTATTTATAATTATAACTTGCGGTAAATGAATAAATAAATAAATAAAATCTATGCGAGTTATGTCAGCATTTTTGCGTGTATAAAAAAAAAATAGATTATTAGCGATGTAATGTAAGCAATTTTGAAGTGATGAGCTATTTTACGAAGGGAAAACCACATTTAATTAAAAATTTCGAGCAAAAATCACAAGCTTCGGATAAAATTTAATTTCTAAAGTGGATAAAAATCAAGTTGCTTTTAACAAATTGAAGAACAGAATTGGTTTTTCCCATTCTATCGCGCACGCTCTATCTTTGTATACACAGGTCAAAAAGAGCGGGGGGGAGAAATCGGCACGTCACGTGTTTAGCATTATTTCGGAAAAAAAGATAAACAGCCCGACTCGATGGTAATAAATATTTAAAAAAAATAAAATATATTTTCCTTAATTAATTTCGGTATAAACAAAAAAATAATTTCGAAAAATGCATTCGAATCGTAACTCTCGTAACCAACCCTTATTGCAGAAATCGATCAGTCGCGTTTTCCGCCGGGTGGCGCCGTCTTCGTCTGGCAGACTTCCAAATCGGTGCACGTGCGAGCAGCCGACATCCAGGCGTCGTCTATCCCGAGTCTCTCTTTTTCAGGTAATTTCTATGTGGTCTGTTTACACACCCAACATGCAACCGGCGCAAAATGGTTCGTATAATTTTTATTTTCTACGCGTTGTCTCTCGCTCGAATTATAAAGCGTTTATCGACCTTTGACCTCTCGGTAAGCGCGCGAGATTACGCTAAATGAAGAGAAAGAAAGAAAGAAGAAGAAGAAGAAGAAAAAAGTTTACGGACAACTTCTTCGTTTATTTCTCGTTAAAGATTTTATTGGTTATTATTTTCATTGTTTTTTAAAAAGATAACGATGGCTTAATGAGTGGAAAAAGTTCATTAGTTTGTGTATTTTAAATGCATTCTGGTATTTTCGAAGTAAAAATTGGTGAACGCACCAATGGAGCCAGCGCTTTGTCAAGTGCCCAGTCCTCGGACGTGTCGTTAGTGATTCATTTTTGGAGAAAGCGATTATTCTTCTCTAAATAATTATAAGCTTTCACACGCAGTCGTAATTAGCAGAAGGCCATATTTACTTGGCCATTTATTTTCAATGACAGTATTTGTTTGGGTTTATATCGACCCGCTTTTAATATAGGACACGTGATTTTTTTAAATTGTAATTATCTCGAAAACAATTCTACTTCAATAACAATCCTTTTTTTTAATTTTCATTAACTGCATTGTTTTTTTTAAATGTTATTATTATTATTGACATTCTGCTCTCTTTCTTGGGATCGGGTCATTGTTCCTTTGGACATTGTCCAAAGTTTAAGTCGTGATTTGTTGTGAAACTCGAAAGATTTTTTTTTCGAAATGAAAAATAAGTTTTTATCGCTTACGTGAATCGTATCAACGCTGTAAGAAATTAATGGTATGCTTTCTTATCCGAAAACTAGTAAATATCTGTTGATGTATCTTTTTGCAGCAGCGAAAGCCTTCTATATTTAGTGTCGTCCACATCAGTTTCCACTGAAGATTTGTAGAATGGTATTTCCGTCACCATCAATAAAATAAGAAAAACTATATATATATTTCGGGAGAAGAATTATTATTTTTTTTATTTCCTTGAGTATACCAAAAGATACACTTTCTAGGAGTGAGTCAGTCCGAATTAGGGAGGTAAAAATGTACTAATTCGGCAGACACGACATTAATTTTCATAAGTCGCGCTCACATTTTGCTATTTATAATTAGAAATATGTTATTCGGACGTTTCTATACATGTTTAACGATGCTTTTAACTTAGCTTATTTATACGAAACAACAGTGTTTTTATTTAATCACGAATCTGTAAGCTGTCTATAGTAGTCTATGCAATATCAATAAATGTCAAAAAATGACGAATATTCTCATAATCTAATTGATCTTCTCTTAGTTCAAAACAATTATTATTGATCACAAATGATCAATAATAATTGTAACGTGACGTTGGCTGTTAGTGACTTGTTTCCGTGACTGCGTTTAACTGATAGGTCATACTACTCGATCAAGCCAACCGTGTGCGATTAGAATGAAAACGAATTGCGCCCCTGAAGTGATACTTCTCGTCAGTACTGAAGCCTTACAGGAATGCCTGCATTGCAGAAGCCGATGTTTTATTGTTGTGGAAAAAAATGACTTTTTTGTACTCCTTTTTTTTTATCCTTTCGGGTTCAAGTAGTTACATATTACACGACAAAATTCCTGCCAATTTTTCTATATTTTATTTTGTAAGAGATAGAATTATTGGATTTAAATGTATATATAAACGGCTTTTATAGTATGTTTTGATTTTAAAAACGTCATTTTACTTGTATAACATAAAACAATGCACGATATTAATGGTGAAAGTGCGATTTAAGTCTCTTCCATTAGGATTAGGATCGTTTTCTCAGAGAATTCGCGAATCTTAAGAAATATTGAATGGATAAAGTATTTATATGAATAATAATTTTGAAAACCGAGAGTTTATTTTCATTTATTTTATGTTTCTTTAACTAAAATTAATTTTAAAAGAGAATTTTCGTCATCGTAAACTTTTGAAACATTAAACAATATTCAGTGTTAATGGAAGAACTAGTACATTTACTTTATACGTTGCTAAGAATATTAAGAGGTGAACTATTAAAAAGAGAAGATTAAACATCGGAGAAAATTCTGTTAAGTATGATTATTACGTAGAATAAAAAGAAATGAAAATAGGAAAATGAGAAAATTATTTTGACAGGTGTTCACAAATGATAGAAAATAAAGTTTTGAGCAAAAAATCATTCGTCTTGTTTGTTCCACTTGACCATTGTTGACAGACCAATTCATTCCAAAATTTAAAAAAACAAGTAAAAAGAAGAAAATACAAAAGATACCCCAGTTGCATCGATCGTAGTTCTAGAATTTCAGGAAAAAAAAACCGATGCAACTTTAACAATGGCATAACTTAAAAGATCGTTTTAAAAAGGGAAAAAGAATTCTTCAGAATGATTTATCATTTCGTTTTAAGATGACTTCACGACAATTGTTTTATCGATGTTTAACATTTGAACTTATTCAATGGATTCTTATTCACTAAAAATCGTTAAAATTTGTAAAATAGCTTTCTTTTTCTTTCCATCGAGTCTAAAGAGAGAGAAAAAAATCAGATAACAGTAAAATTATGAACTGCTAAGCTTAATCAATAGAAATTCAAAAAGATCTTACTTAGTTAAGAATATTTTTCATCTTTAAACGATCCTTTCAGAATTCAATATATATGAAAGTATGACTTATGTATGAAGTAATAATTTATTTTATATAATGAATAATTAATAAAACCATAAAGGATAAGTAATTTGAAAGAAAATTCCATCGATAGAATCGTAATGTTAGTCCATAACGACCATAATTGAATTGATATCATTTGATAGTGCCATTAACATCTATATGTAAATTGCATGTGCATTAAGAATCAATTCATAAAACAAACTTATTACATACAGTTATTGATTATTTCATTATAAAATTTTATGTTCTATGAATCAATTCTGACGTTATTTAATCTTAGCGTGATAAGGACATGGATATTTTCAAGCAAAATTATTAATTTTTAAAATAAAAATATTTTATTTAATATGACAAAAATTATATTAGTAATTGCTCCCGTTTTTGGTTATCTACTGTAAAAACTTTAAAGTAGCAAATCTCTTGCTAAAAATAGTATCGCTCTCTGTCAGTAATCCTTTCAGTAAGAGATGTAATAATAGCATTTGTGGTCGCTAACTTGATACACAAACACATCAGATTCCATCTCTAACGTATTACGGGACTGGTTACATCAAAACTGTGTCATTAACATGAAAGGATTTGTGTTAGATAGTGGTGTAGGTGGTAATAAATATCGAGTCGTTCAATGTTTCCACTGCCAAAATGTAGTTCAAGGTTAAGACTGATTAGAAAATCGATAATGTTGACCCAAATTCACCGTTCTTTTCCCTTTTTCTCCGCTTATTTCACCTGATATTTATTCGAAAATTGCTTGGCATATTAACAGTGATGTAGTTTAAGCTTCTGAAAAAGTTATCTGAGAATTATAGCATTACTTATGCCATATCAAAACCGGATGACATAAAAAGACGTCGCTTAGCAGATGTTGTGAATTTAGATCGTGTTCCTTCTTGGTCGCCAGATGATATTTGCCTAAGAGCAATGCTTACAATCATTTTATTATTATAATATTTTTACGTAAATTTGGCTATTTTTATTTATTTTACTTTTGTATTTAATCGTTTCACTTCGCTAAATATATTTAAAATTTGAACTTTAATATGATTTTTATTCAATGTTAATATTTCGTGAATATCCTATATATTTATTCAGAATCTTAATCGAAATTTCTTTGAAATTCAAATTTTTCATTGAGTAAAGACTGATCGTGCATCCAAATCATAATTCTCGGATGTACTGTACTTAAAGGCGATACAAAGTATAACAGAGACTTCTTTCTTGAGTGTTTCCTTTAACGGTAACTTTATCCGGATGGGTTGCTATGGTTACGTTATCTCACTCGGAAACCAAAGAAAGTAGATAGCTGTTATTGTTATCTGACTGATGGCCAATCACTCGTCCTCAATGTCAAAGATAGACGATCGGCTTGATTTATTCTATAAGAAATTCATTTAATGAAGTAAATTTGAATTGATATTGGCTGCCGAACGATGAAATATCCTTTTATAGATCGCTGAACTTGCATTTAAAAAATTGGAACAATGTCAAAGAGGCCGTGAACTGTATCAAACAATGTTTGAATCATAAATAAACCGATTAGAGAATAATTTATGATTATTCGAGGACATTTTAAGTATAGCTCTTTTTGAATTTCGAAATTTTATCTATTACATTGTTATTATTAAAAATAGTTGAAGTACAGTAAATGAATTGTAGTTTAATTTGAATATAATTTACTTTTACAGCATGTGGATAGACACACGAATGCTGCTTAAGGGTAGAAGACGGTAAACCATGACCCAAAGTCTACTTCATGGGAAGAACTTTTATTGTCGGGAATGGGTATTTGCAAAATTATCACATTGTTTGGAAAATCGAAATTCGGCCAAAACAAGTGGAGTATTGGTTGTTGGAGGTCCCGGAAGTGGAAAAACGGCAGTTTTCTGCGAATTGGTATGGCCGTCCATCGAAAGAGGAAAGCAGAACACCTTAAGCAAACGAATCCTCGCTTACCATTTTTGTCAGGCCCACGATATTAAGACCTTGTCAGTTAAAGATTTCGTCCAATCTCTGGCGGAACAACTCTCTAAATCATATTTAGCTGGATCATTTAACGAAAAGTTAAAAGATATCGAAAATTCGGGTGCCGTAGGCCAAGAAGAAAACCATTCCTCCGTCGACGAGATATTCAAGAATGGAGTTCTTTATCCTTTACTGGAAATCGAACCACCAAACCAGCCATATATTCTGTTGGTGGATTCGATAGACCAGTCATGTCTTCACAATGCTCCCGATAGAGGAAGTGAAAGCCGTAGCATTGCCGAACTGCTTTCAAACTACCATCATTTGTTCCCGCAATGGCTGCTGTTAGTATGCTCGGCAAGAAAACAAAATAAATCTATTACCCGTTTATTCACGGGATTCCGTAAGATAAGCCTCGACGACTTGCGAAAATCTCATGTCGTGCGGGATGTTCAGCAGTATATACTCAGTCGATTAGATCAAGAAGAAGCTCTGAGACAGCATTTGAATAGAGAAACAGCCGAAATGCTCAATCAGCTTCACATTAAAAGTAATGGCTGCTTTATATATTTAGAGAAAGTTCTAGATGGGGTAGCGGAGAACTTTATTATGTTGAGAGAAATTCGAGAGATACCGGGAACTTTAAATGGATTATATTTATGGTTATGTCAACGTATCTTCGTCCGGAAACAGTTTCTTAAGATTCAACCGATTTTGAATGTTATTCTAGCCACGAGGAAGCCTCTAACCGAAAATCAATTATACGAATGTGTATGGACCAAAAATACTCATCTCACTAAAGAAGAATTTAGTAAACGTATGACACTTCTTTCTAAGTTATTGGTCGATGACATTGATGGAGCAAAAATTCTCTTTCATCATAGCTTTGCCGAATGGTTGCTCGATGTTAAACATTGTACTCAGAAATATCTTTGTCACGTAACGGAAGGTCACGCCATGATCGCTATGTGGTATACGCGTCAGGCACCTAATTTATCACCGGAAGAAGTATGCGATTTTGCCCTTCACTTATCAAAAATACACCCTTCGCCCGTTCTTCAACCTCATCATTTACCACTGTGGTTGGTAGTATCCGGTGCGCCCGTCGAAGCATCTTTGATGGAAACACCTCCACCCAACGATCAGAAAGTTTTAAAGTTACTTACTGATGCCGGAGCGCAAATGCCAGACGTTGTAAGAGACGAAAGTGAGAAAGAATCTGTAAACACCAATAAAATTCCAGATGATCCTTTAGAGGCCCTTCTACAAAATGGTGGTAATATTAATCAGATCGATAGTAACCAGAGAACTCTTCTTCATACAGCCGCATACGACGGAAACGATAAACTCGTTCAGAGATTAATCGAAAAGGGAGCAGACATCGAAACGATCGACAAAAATGGACAGACCGCACTTAATTTGGGTAATATTTTTGAAAAAAATTACGAAATATTGTAGAAAATAAATGCTAAAATAATATTTAATATTTAAGAAACTGTTTTTCCTATGTCATTTAATATTTAATTAAAGATTTCCTCTGTTATTTTCTTAGCGTCGAGACAAGGTCATCTCTCGGTGGTAGAAGTGTTGCTCAAATCGGGAGCGGATCCGGATCATGCTGATTGTGACGGATGGACATCTCTCAGATCATCCGCTTGGGCTGGTCATATCGACGTAAGTAACACGAATTTATGATTGTAATGAGGAAATAGGAAATTTTATTGGTGACAGTTTAATAGAATAGCTTAAATATATCCGTAATTTGCTTGTCAATCGAAAAATGATTATTATTATCGAAGATGATTATTATTATATATCTGAAACAGGATGCATTTTGATCAAATTAATGAGAATCAATCTCGTGAAATTCTTATATATTGATTAAAACTTAAATTATACTATTAATTTAATAACAAGTTTTAAAATGTATTAAATTACTTTCAAGTATATTTATCGTTATCATTAAATATTATTAATTATTTTATTGCTGTCTGTAATAGTAAACATTCCGAAATGATTTCCTCCAGAAAAATCTGTATTTAAAAAAAAAAGGTCATTTCATGATATTATCGATAAAAGAAATCTTAAAATTTCAATAAAAAAAATTAAATAGATTTTTCTTTTGTTAAAACAAAGAAAAAACTACAAAAGGCAGATTTTAGCTTCTTTTTTCCGATTTGAAAATTCATCATATTGTTTGGAGATTGAGTAATTCTATCGCAGTGAGGGAAAAAAATTACAATATAAGATGAATCGCGCTAATTAACTCTATGTTGTTTTTTTTATTAGCGAAATTAAAAATTCATTGATTGAAATCTTTGTAATTTTATAAATTATAAAGTATTTTTAGCCATCGATTCGTAAAATTGAAAAATAATCGTTACGAGAAATTAATTGCGAAAATTTAAAAAGTCGTGGGTTATAAGTACATAAATCTTCACGCAAGATTCTATCACTTGGTAAAAGTAAAGAATACGAATGCGACTGACAGAGATTTTTGCACGAGATGATGGTGATGTATCGAAGTGATTACTTGATACGAAGAGCTATTTATCTGAAGAAAATCTTTTATTCACAGATCGTTGCAGAAATCTATCGAAATTCGCATGCTCTAGGCGGAAATATTAATTAATTTCCTAATTACCAATAAAAGTTTCCTGTAGCTAATTCATTTACGTTATAAAAAGTCATTCGAGTTTTTTCTATATTTTTCATCCGGATGTGTCGCAAAAAAAAAAAAAAACTTTTATTTTCGTGCATTTTAGATTTATTGATATTATCAGGGGAAGAATTTAGTAAAAAACGTGCAAAAATATATCTCTCCGAACTGTACATTTCGTCCATAAATTTAATTCGCGTTTGCACCGTTGGGAACTGGTTAGAAGGAATGGATAGGTAGGTATAATTTGCGATCGAAAACTATAAAAATAAATGAGGTCGAGTATAGTTTTGAATAATAATAATAATAATATCATCATATGTATGGCGATCATCGTCTCTCAAGATTCTCTTTATGCAATCTTTTCTTCCCTCGGGGTAATATGCATTAAATAGCCGAATCAATAAAAAAAGACTTTGAGGAATCCTATGAAATATGAATGAAGCGATTTGCTAGCTTAGCATGGAAAGTAAAAACATTTCGTCAAATTGCCGCTAGCCAAACCCCTTCCATGAAACTTAGAAGTGAAAAGTTGTAAAAACCAAATTAATAGCATTGGCATGGCATCCAGTGCTCGTGTTGAATATGCACTTAGTATCAATGCAAATGAATGTATTATTCCATTCTCTTTATTGAATATAGTAGCTGTTACATTTATCTTGATTAAAGGATGTCACCAATATGATATTCTTTCTTTTTTTTTTCTTCTTCTTCTGTTTTTTTTTTCCTGCCGTGTTGAAAAAGTGATAAATTGCGTTTATACATACATAAAACACACAGATCTAAGTGAAATGAATATTTAAAAAAAATAAATAAATTGTAAAATTTTACAATGGAAGAACGTAGAGCAATGAAAGTCCTATGGGTAAATAGCAATTTTTTAAATATTCTAAAATAATATTCTGAATGACGAAAGTTTTATTCAGAATATTAATATTTAACTTGTATGTTATTCGCATTTTTATTTGTTTACGTTTATATTGATTGTTTATGTTTGTATATTTATTTATTTATTTCAAATACTTTCAGAAAATTTATATTTTAATACTTTTCCATTTTCCATTATAATATTTTAAATCGGTCCCATCGATGTGATTTACAAAATTAAAGTAAATAACATTTTAAAACTATAATTAAAGATGTTTGTGATATGTAACCGTTTAATGAAAGGATTTAATAATTGATATAAAGTTAATTATCCGTTTAGTTAATTCGTTCTGTTAATGAAATATTGAATTCTTTTGAATAATTAACATAATTTTATCGTTAAAGAATCTATTATTTTTTTTCCTAGGTTGTAAATGCTTTGCTAGAAAAAGGAGCTCAAGTTGATCTTGCCGATTCAGACATGAGAACTGCCTTGAGGGCAGCTGCTTGGGGAGGCCACGATGATATTGTTCTGACACTGCTGCAGCACGGTGCCTGCGTGAATCAAGCAGATAACGAAGGAAGAACCGCTCTGATCGCCGCTGCCTATATGGGACATTCAGAAATTGTAGAACATCTCTTAGATCACGGAGCAGAAGTTAATCACGAAGATTCGGACGGACGCACCGCTCTTTCCGTGGCATCTTTATGTGTTCCAGCATCCGAAGGTCACGCAGATGTTGTTAGTTTACTGTTGGAGAAAGGTGCTGAAGTAGACCATAGAGATAAAGAAGGAGTCACGCCATTACTCGTGGCCGCTTTCGAGGGTCATAGTGAAGTATGCGAATTGCTGTTAGAAGGAGAAGCTGACGTTGACCATGCCGATAACAATGGTCGTACGCCCATATTCGCCGCAGCTTCCATGGGTCACCCCGCTGTCGTTAGTCTTCTGTTGTTTTGGGGTGCCGCAGTGGATGCCATTGATAGTGAAGGTAGAACTGTATTGTCGGTGGCCGCATCCCAAGGAAATCCCTCAGTAGTTCGGCAACTTTTGGACAGAGGACTTGACGAAACGCACAGAGACAATGGAGGGTGGACGCCTCTGCATTATGCAGCATACGAAGGTCACGAAGAAGTCTGCGAAATTTTAGTAGAAGCGGGCACAAAAGTTACAGAAGTCGATAATGACGGAAGAATACCTCTGATTTTGGCTTCTCAAGAAGGACATTCCAAATTGGCAGAAAAATTAGCTAATTATAATCGAGCTAGTATTGATCATAAAGCACACGACGGAAGAACAGCTTTAAGAGTTGCGGCTCTAGAAGGACACAAAGAAGTAGTGAGTATACTTTCTAAGAAAAATTCTAAATATATTTACCTATAATTACTAAAAATAAATATGTAAACATGATGATAATTTAGAATAGTTAAAAATTTATTAAATATATTTTTTATATATATAATAACAAAACAGAAGTACCGAACGATCTTCTTGCTAATATTCGAAATACTGAAGTAAGCACAAAAAATTTATAAACTTAAGTCAAGACCACAAATAATCCCATATTATTTTATAAATCATTGCCTTTCTGTAGAATTGAACTTGAATCTGAAATCCACAGATAATAAGAATTAATAGATTACTTAATTAAACTCACTCAAAATGAAAAACTATACAATAAAATTTATTTAAAAGATTAAGTATAAAAACAAAGCACAGTAAAATGTATGTTTAACAAAAAATTATTTGTAAATTTATTTTCAAAGTTTTAATCGAAAGTTAAATCGGTTCCATTCAACTTATTATCACCAAATCATAAGTTATTCCATTCAACGAACTCATAAAAAATTTCCTGGAAATACTGAAGTTCTGTCAAGAACTCCCCCAAGTCATCTCACTATTAGCCATTTGTCATCAGAAAACGATGATCTCTGGGGTGCAGATTGGGAAGAAGCAAGGATGATATATCGGGCTGATGCTCCAGTAACAGGTTAGGTATTGGTTTTTTCGCTTTGATGAACCTCCCTGTTGCAAGAAGTAAAAATGAACTAGAAACTTCCTAGATTCCTTTGATCAATAAATCTAAAGAAAGAGAAAATTCGCCCTCGGGCAACGTTGATATATCAAAATCGTATAAATCATTCTTCCACAAGTTCACGGTAAAAAAATGGTATATATCTTTATTGTTTAATTTAGCATTGTTTTCTAAAATTTATCACTATGCAAAATTGATAAGAATTACTATTTAATAGTGTAGTATGAGAAGAGAAATATCATTAAGAATATCGAACAGTCAACTATCTTCAGAATAAAGATAATAAACCAATACTGTATATAACTGTCTCATTTTAATCGAAATGATCTTTAAATATTCAATTACAATTATGTAATTTAAATAATACATTATTTTGCTTTTCCTTTAATTCTCTTAGGTTCAAGTGTTGCTTTCCCAGGGTGCCGATGTGAACTATAAAGATGCGGATGGTAGATCGACTCTTTATCTGTTGGCTCTCGATAATAGGATAGATATGGCCGATTTCTTGGCTTCTTCTAAAGCAGATTTGGAAGTGACGGATGTAGAAGGCCGAACGCCTCTTCACGTGTCGTCTTGGCAAGGGCATTACGAGATGGTGGAACTTTTACTGAATCACGGAGCAAATGTTAATACGACCGATAACGATAAAAGAACAGCACTGCAGTCGGCAGCCTGGCAAGGTCACGTTAACATTGTAAAATTGTTGCTAGAGAGAAATGCCCGAGTGGATCACGTTTGCAATCAAGGTGCCACCGCTCTATGCATCGCTGCCCAAGAAGGTCACGTGGAAGTAGTGAATGTGCTTTTACAATATGGCGCAGATCCCAATCATGCCGATCAGTTCGGACGCAATCCACTACGCGTAGCCACCAAAGGAGGACACACGCCAGTAATTCAATTATTAGAGGAATATATAGCATCTAATAGCAATCATCGACGTCAGGGGTTACAATCCGGAAGTATTAGTACCACTTCTCTAACTTCGGCTTCTACGGCCGAAACTAAACCTTGTAGTGCCATTCTGTATCAACCGGGTTTATATAGTTCTCCGGAATCGACGGTGGATCCGAGAAAATCGAGCGTGTCGAATCGCTCCTCGTCGAAATCTTCCAGTAATCTAACTACATCCACGAAATCTTCTCATCGAGGAAAAGAAATGGTTAACGGCAATGCTCCGATGACATTCACACAGCAATTACAACAGTGTAGCCGACCGAGACATAGGATAAGCCAAATTCTTTCGCCACTCAGCGAACCTCGCAGCCCCATACCCAGTCCGCCTCAGTCACCACTCAGTGATACAGATGGAACGTCTCATCCCGTCCATGTGCCCCTCGTCATCCAACCGTTAAAATCCGAACCGAAGACGCGAATTCAGGGACCAGAAAGTCCTCGAAGATCCCTATCAAGGACTCAAGAACAAAATCGATTTCGTAGGAACGGTATCGTGACCAATCCAAATTATAAAGGAATGGCCACGAAAAACTCGTTCGGAATCGACGGAGGAATGAACTCCAATCAGTTTTTGAGGAATAAACACATTCCTTGTCATTACGAAGTGGCACTCAAACCCAGTGTCAAGAAAGAAACTCCTTTATAATTTGTGTATTCTTTAAACAGTTTGTATATGAACAATATTCTCTTTCGTTTGAAAGAAATTCTAAATTTCTAATCCATTTCGAATGGATTTATATATATATAAATATATATATATTCAAAGGCAGCTCCATGTGTATAAACGTTTAAGATATCAAACAATGCAATGCCCTGCTTTTGAAAGCAACAATCTTTACTGCCAAAATAGAATTCCGAAAAATTAAAAAAATATATATATACATACAAATAATTTTAAAAAAATCGTTTATTGCTCGCTTTATTATTTCTTAAAAAACGATATAATTTTTTATCGTTAATTTAATCGAACGAGATTCATCAGATTATGAATCTCGTTCGATTTTGTTATTTTTTTATATAAAAGAAAAGTATAAAAATCAGAAATTTAAATCATCGATTGATTAAAAAACAAACTACGAAGTACAGAAAGTATAGAAAAGTTTATGAATATTCAATTGGAAGCTTTCTTAATATATTACGGGATTATTGCTAAAGATACTCATTTGACGACAGGTGAAACATTCGTTAAATAATTATATTAGTCATGTTCTTTAGTGCTAATAGTGCGCTTTCTGGAACAACAAGTGGGTTCCACGAATATAATCTAATCGCGATGACCAAAAAATACTTTAAATAGTTTCATTTAGATTATCAGTGCTTTAAAAGTAAACATTCGACAACTTTACAGCTTAATAGAAAGAAAGGAAGGAAAAAATAAATAAATTCTTTCTTTCGTATTAGTTCGAGTTGTTAGGAAAAGTTGTAATATGAAAAAACGAAATCGTTATGTTGTAATATAGAATATTCAAATTGTATCCCGACCGGAGATAACATTTTAAAACTATGATCTCAGATGTACGTGGTTAACATCGAGTGTACAGAAAATATAGGGACAAATAAAGGCTATACAGTTATATCTTGTTTTCTGTGCAGAAACTGATTTTGTAGAACACAAGTTTTTTATTTTTTTACTTTCTACTCGTTAACAGGATTTCCTTTCTAATTTTATCTATAGTTGTAATTATTTCATTAACTGGAGATGGATATCTAATTGTTTCTATTGGGAACTGGAATGGTCTGCATCGAACCCTATCGCATCGGAATCTCGTATAGAACATCTGTTAGGTTGTAAATTACCCCGAACCTACCCATTTTCTGTCGTACTCCACCCAATAAAGCTTTCCCAACAAAGATTGATTGGCTTTTGTCCTTTGGAAGAAGATATCGCTGGACACTGTTTTAAGTACTCTCCAGTTAGACAAAGAACGTGGATCACGCTCGTTAAAGATACTTCGTTAATTTCGAGCATTCTTTTAGTTTTTGTTTCAAGCCAAAAGTATTTAGGGCTCCTTTCATCACGTCATTTTAACTCTAATCCTTGTTTGACTCGCGAAACGTGCAACCATTCTATTAAATATTGAAAAATCTCTTAACTAATGAAACCGTTGATATCGAGTTCGTACGACCACTTCATTTTATCTCGGTAATAATTATTTTTAAAGTAAATAATAATAATAAAAAATTCAATTTATCAATTTAAAATACGATTTTTCCTATGGAAAAAGATTACTTTATCAATTTTTTTTTTTAAAGAATAGGCATATTTGCATAATTTAATAGATTGTTTTTCCAGAAAAATCGACTTTACTTTTGGCTCGCTGTCTAATGTTGTTTACGAGGACATTAGAAAACTGATTTCCAGAAGAGTTGCCTTATATAATGATATATATAAAACAAAACATTTTCCCCCCTCCCTTCCGAACAGAAATATATTTTATATAAAAACAATTTATAAAATTAATGTTCGTATAGCATAAATATGGACTATTTTATCTGATACAGAATTTTGACTGGGATAAATAGCCTAGAAACGATTTTATATTCATTGGTAAAAGATTAAAGTAAGATACAAATGTATATATTTTTCCTGTAGTTGATGGCGAAATATCAAGGTTTATTTTGTCGAGACCTACTTCTTCTCCCTGTATAAATCTTCACTTACCGCTGAAGATACTGACGAACATATAAATTGCCATATTTCAACGGTTAGTTTAGGATTGTTTTGACAGTGGGAAATGTTTTTATTTCATTTTATGGATTCTTTTGGTGAGTTTCTCTTCTCTAATTGGGGAAAGTTCTTTAATAAGATTTCTGGTCTTTAACGATCGTGTATAACTGGGTTTCTAATGGCTGTATTGGGCTTTGTGTTTCTGGATCGTTTCTAAAAGACTGTTAAACCTTTATGTTCTTGTAATCTTTCTAACTAACATATAGTGTTTTGTCTCTAGGTTCCTATTAAATTTCTAGGCATTTACTTTTATCTGGATCTTTCAAATTTCATTGGAACTATAATGTTGAAGATTTTTCAGAAAATTTGTAAACGTGCCAGATATTTGTATATTTTAAATTTGTTTTTAGCAATATTCTTGAATTTATCTTTTTAGAAACTTTTTATATGGATCTTTCGTCGATTTTCGTGAGTGAAAAAGTTCTGGATTTAAGATTTTTTCCATAATTTTGCATAATTATCTAATACAGTAATTTTCGATTTGTATTCGAATTTGAATATGTTAATCTTTTAGAATCAAGATAAAAGAAAGAAAAATAAGATTGAAAGATGAAAGCAAATTTATGAAGGGTAGGTGTAAGTAAATTGTTTTCAATCGCGATAAGAGAAAGGAAGAAAAACAAAATGTAAGTCTACCAAATAATCTAAGAATTCTATCGATACTTGGAAGCACTTTATCAAGAAACATAGTGCAATAAAACGACAAATACTTGATACTATGTTTAGATAGGAAGTATCAGAGATATGCTATAGTGCAATAACTCCTTTCAGAAACACCAAGATATGCTTCTTTAACCAACAATAGATATTCTGACAATAGCCCGATATAAATTAATTTAAAAAAAGAAAAAAAAATACGAATTAAAGGAAACTTCGCATTTTATTATATAAATATATAAAGAATTTTATTGTCGACACGAAATAAAAATAGATAATTCTTTCACGTAACGAACATAAAGAGTTTTTCCTTTAAAGAAAAGAAATGAAGACGTTGCCATGCCAACAGTTCATAAGCAAAGTTAGTAGATAATAAATCTTCTGCTACCCGAAATTAGTTTAACGTGGAGATAGATACAAGCCAATGTAAATCCACAGATATCGATTTTTTACTTGATTAAACATTATATTGATATTCGATATACGAGTTACATTTATTATCTCTCGTTCTATCCTATTGGCTTTTTACATTGTTTTCAAACACGGCGAACAATAGAGCCTATATATAAGTCCATCATATTTACTAAACGATATACAGTATATAATTTATCAGATGTTTCGAAACAATTTTGTAACCCGAGCGGAGGCCTATTATTTATGTTCTTTTCCTTTAACCGAACCCCTTCTTACAGAAGGAAAACACAAGAAACAAAAAAAAAAAAATAGTACAGTAAAATTTTTGAATCGATCAATATTAAATTTATATATATATATATATTCTGCTTGAAAAATGATGATCATTTATATTCTTAAAACTTTTTCATTTTGCAATATATTCGTTGTAATAGCTATAATTTGTAATGATCACATGTTTCGACTTATAATTTCCAAGAAATGGGCAAATTAATCAACATATATTCATAAATTAACATTATAATAAGTTTACAGATAAATTAACATAATTAACTTAATGTATACATTATAAATTAACGTGGCAATTAGTTTCTATGTAAATTAAGCATATACGATTTATTTAATGGCATAAAATTAAACAGGCGAATAAAATATTTTAAATTATTCATCGTCGTTTCGATTTTAATTTATTGATTTAAAGAGTTCGTATTGAAGAATTTAATGAAATTCGCCTAAATTTTTAACCGAGTTGGTTATTTATAACTAAGAAAATTTAATATTTTAAGATATTTATGGCTTGTTTCTTATAACGTTGCGTTAAAGTATAGTCGCAAATTTTAACTTAGGCTATTTGTGAGCCCGACACGAACGTTAAAAATCATTAAAATTGAATTTGTTATTCAAAACCCGAAACTTATTTAAATGATGCAACTTAATTAACTGTTAGATTCAGAGTTTATGCCTTTCCTTACGTTTTATACATTCAGGACTCGTTCGAAATTACAAACTCTTGAGATATAACCTCTATTTACTTGACAAGTACCGGTTAATGCAACTTTCTGAAAGGAAATTCGATAATGGAAAAATATAATTTCAAAATAACGTTCAAAATATTTTTCTTTTTTATTTATAAATGATGTCATATATATTATACTATCGTCCTTCCACCTTAATGAGGTTTAGTAGGCTAAGGGAAGGACAAGAGATCATCTGATCTGCATTAAAAATTTTGTTCCGGGTTTTTTTTTTCATTATTGAAACTAAACGCTTTTAGAAATTTAATTAAAATTTCCTGTAATACCTAATTTAAATTTTAAGTATATAAAATTTGCTATTTAAAATATTATATTTTACAAGTTATGCCCTCTCAGCGCAAATTAAAATTAAAATTATTTTGTTAATATTTCAAGAAGTAAATATTTTAAAACGACTTTTTCTTTTTTTTTTTTTTAGTCAGAAAAGAAGTATAAAAAGAAAGTAAAACTGTTGCCCATTTTCTTTCATCCTAGGTTCTATCTTTATCTTTGTTTCAACCAAATCCTTCTTTACCTGTTCTCATCATCTCTTGATCTTTCTCTGTAAGATAGCACCGGAAACAAAATAATACCGCGTATACAGTTAAGTCGCTTTCATATTTTATACGTTAACGTTGTTGTTAAAAGTCATTTTTGATAATAATTCCATTACTACTTCACGAAAATGTATCGGAAATTCCGAATTAAAGAAAGATGAGAGATTAAAATCTTTTAAAAGTATCCTATTTCCAGCGAATCGGTTGGTTGCTACGAGTTACTAAGTTAATAAATAGTCTAATTATCCATCAAATAAATGTATGGAAGAAAAAAAAAATGATGTCTTCATACGGAAAACATTTAAATTTCCATAAAAAGATCTATTAAATTGAGTTATGTTTGCGAGTTGGATGTAGCGATAAGATGGTGTTCTGTCTCGCTGCATAAGAAAAGGAATGAGCCAGACAGAAAATTGTAGGGCTTTAGAGTAGTCAAGGTCATCAACCTGCTAGAAGGGACAGTCCCTTGTCAAGTGTGCGATAAGTGTCTGTACAATGACAGCTCTTTATAGTTCTTCATTCTCTTTTTTTTTTTTATGTCTGCTTGTTTGATGCTACAAAACTTGGTACTTCTCTCTTCTTTAATATCCGATTCTCGCATCGATTGTCGACGTTTCAAATAACTTTCGAAAGTAATCTTTATAAAGTCGAATTTACCATTTAAAAAATCTTTTCTATAAACTATCTAACCGCGCGTTATATATTGCTTTTCTGCTTAAAATATCGCTCTGGTCAGAGACACTTAACTGTATATAAATATATATAGATCCGTTCGAGTTTACCTATGAATATTTATCTACACGTAAATCGGATTTTCTATTTTTTTTTTAAGTCATTATATTAAAGATATAAATGGCGATATGGATTTATTACATTTTTTTATCTTGGTTTTCTTTAAAATCGATTTATAGAAGAAACTAAGTCACACGATAGAGAAACATAAGTGCTTTTACGCCATTTAATTTTCGAGTAGAGTTAGCGAGTATCGAGTACAAAATGTATTTTTCGTGTTTCTTGATTCTTTTTCAAAATGAAAAAAGAATAATTCTGCGATTTGGACAAACTTCTATCTTAAATTTACGAACAATAATGATTTTTGATTACTTTATTATAATAAAAAAAATAAATGAAACGTACACCTATAGGAAGGAAATTATATTTTCGGATAATCTCATTACAGTTCGGTTTAAAAGCAAAGTCAGCGAATTGGTAGAATACTTCTCATTAAAGAAACCCGAATAGTTCTGCTCGAATAATTTTGCTGATACTCAATTATTTATTTTTTTTTTCCATTCCCCATTATTCGTTCGACTGAACGAATAATTTCAATTATACAACACTTCCCATTTCATTAAATGAAAGTATAGTTTATTTATTCTTTACCTGTGGGATCTATGCTCTTCTGACTTCAAAATGCTAGTTTAACTCGTGTTCTATCCATTCTTTGCGATAACAACGTATTAATTTAATGAAATTTTAGTGGTGAAGCGTATTGCATACGTGGCGAGCTTTTCAAACCGTTTCCTCGGCTACAACCGAACGTATATCAAAAAATGTTTGCATTATCGAGTGTCATATTTTGATAGAATCATTTGAATATTTGGAATTCGAGGCCCGTTTATTAGAGAAGAAGAATAGCTTTACGTCTCTTCATCCGGCCTCATCATTATTCATTACGTCCACGAATGTCCGTGACAGATAAATCGGAG